CAACGCTGTAAACTTGAACTTTAAAAAATTTAAAAGTGCGAGGCGTCTCATCACGTGTCTCATCACGTGCTGAGAATTATCAATCACGTCACTCGCACACCATTCTTCTCATCTTCCTCCTCCTGCGTCTGCGATGGGCTCCCTGGCCACCGTGAATGAGCTACTGGCCGGGAGCGTCGGCGGCGCCGCCCAGGTCCTCGTCGGACAACCACTAGATACCGTCAAAACGCGCGCTCAAATCGCTCCCAGTTCGTTCCCTCTCGCTCCAATCTATAGTTTGTGAGCTGCGACTGAGTTGTCCGCGTGTGACAGAGGGGATGTTCGTGCGTTACTCCCCACGTACCACAATCATCATCTAACACCCCATGCAGAAAGGCCCCATGGACATCATAATGCAGACCGTGCGCAAGGAGGGCTTCTTCGCGCTCTACAAAGGTCGACTACGCGCAAATTTCACTCATTAACATCGGTAAACATGACCTACAGGAATGGCGAGTCCCCTCATCGGTATCGCGGGAGTAAACTCCCTTCTTTTCGCGTCGTACGGCGTTTCGCGGCGCATAGTCTCGCCCTTTGGGCAGCTCTCCCTCGGCGAAACTGCGCTGGCGGGCAGCATGGCTGGGGCAGCCAACGCCATCCTCGCTAGCCCAGGTGCGTATCCGTGTTTCGATTCACTATGCGTTAACCTAACGCTGATCTCATAGTGGAGATGTTCAAAGTCCGCATGCAGGGTCAATATGGCGAGAAGACCGACAAACGCCTGCGGGTGATCGCCCGTGAGATGTGGTCCCAGTGGGGATTCCGCAAGGGAGTCATGCGTGGGTACTGGGTATGTCTTGGTTTCCATTCCGCGCTTTCTATCCACCTTGAACCCACGAAATAGGTCACGGTCGTTCGTGAGATCCCCGCCTACGCCGGGTTTGTCCTCGCCTTTCTCTCAATGATTCGCCTAGGACTTACGATTAATGTCTAGATTTTACACGGGTGAAAGCAGGTCTTGTCGTTCGAACTGCGGTCTCACACTACCGTCCCAGCGTACGAATTTTCGAAGCGGAAATTCAGTACTAAATACAACGATCAATTACCGGTATGGGCATTACTGGCTAGCGGTTCAACCGGCGGCGTAAGCGATCCATCAGACTTAGCATAATCTTCTCTCGTGCCAACCTTACATCCACCCAGATTGCGTACTGGCTAGCATGCTACCCCCTCGGTCAGTCTGCTTTCTCTTCCTTTCGTTGTCTCGGGATTTTATTTAACCTTTCATGCCCTGCGCCAGACGTCATCAAATCCCGCGTCCAGCTGCGCGACACCCCGCCAACGGGGACGCCGGTCCAGTATATCGCCCGGGAATTCAAGCTCATCGTCTCTGAGTCCGGATTGTATGTATATTTCATCACCCAATATCTAAATACACAACCAATCGCATCTGACCACGGACCGACAGCGCAGGCCTATTCCGCGGATTATCCCCCTCCTGTGCGTCTCCTACCTCTATATATTTCCCCCACCCAGCTCTGACTTGTCTTGCTTTTTGTAACGTAGTGTTGCGAAGGTAATTCTTCACTCTGTCCATTCTGCACATCCCCCACTCTGTCTGCTGTGGACGTACGCTCATTCATTGATTGTTTAGTATACCAGCGGCCGCGAGCACCTTTGCCGCGTTCGAGCTTACTCGAGGTGCGCATTTATTTCTTGGCTAATATTTATATTATGTGTGTCTGTATGTGACTGATTGATTGGCGGCAGAGTGGTTGGCTGGGGTTACGGGTGTTTAGAGTGGGGCGATGTGTGGTGCGCAAGTCGCGATCGTTGTAGTTTGCGAATGCAAGTTTCCTGATGATGTCGAGCTGGCCCGTCTTCTCGCATCGAAGCTGCTCCTGGCGATGGCGGTAAGGGACGTCGGCCGCTCGGTCAAGGTAACGCGAATAAGGAAGCCGCATTAATATCTATTTATCCACACAAGTTCACTGCAGGACAACTGCAGGAAATCAAAGTTTGGAAATATTCACACAAGTGTGACCAGTCAGACCAGAGCTGTTTCCCGACCTTAAGCTTATTACATCCTTTCCACCGCCGCAGGGTCCCTGTCAGCGAAGAATCTCCAACGTACAAGCCATTTAATGTGTTACACTTGAAGCTCCATGGTGGGGCATGGTCGAAGTTACTCGTGGGTCAGTTCCAAGGTGTTGCTGAACTTCAATGTACAACGTACTGACCCATTACTTGGAACGGATCGATAAAAGCTCTGTTACTCGAGGGGAGTCGTAGGTAATATAACTGGTTAACTGCTAAGACTGGATCCAGACAGTCAAAGAATAATGAAGTCTCCGAGACGGAGACTCGTTGCCTCAAACTGCGAATTTGAAGCCGTATTAGCGGGGATTCAGAATATGGATAGGCGTTAGGGGGCAGCATGGCTGGGGCAACTAACGCCATCCTAGTAGCCCAAGTTCTTATCCGTGTTCCGATTTGGCATGAGCTATCCTAATCGCTGATCTCACAGTGGAGATGTTCAAGTCCGCATGCAAGGGCAGCAGATGTACGGCGAGATGCGTTACATATGCAGCGTATGATCACTGGCGCAGCCCATAATTTTGGCTTGAACGCCTACCAATACCGGTCAGTACATCCGCACAGCGACATAAAGTCGTCTCTGATCAGTGTTTATTCCAGCTGGGACAATCCAACGCTCAGCTCCGATAACGGCGCGGACCTATATGCGTTTTTCGCCGGGTCCACAGCCTTCGACGCCGCGGATCAGGCGCGATGAGGAGCTATTTCACGTCGGTCGCAACATCTGGCACACCGGCTGCTCCTACATCCATCATATAGCCAGTGAGTGTTCTCCTAATCCTCAAGTATCCTGGTTGGACTAATAATAGGTCTCAGGCGAGTATCGATAGCAACGAAAGTCCTCGAATTTTGCTTCATCCTGGTGATATTTCGCTGGAGAACGTCACCGACGCACTCAGTGCCCGGTGCGCCTTTTGGCACGGGTTGGGGCCCGAGATAAATACCTGATTCATGTAACTTGGTTGAAAACGAATCCACTGAGATCTGTGCCAGAAACCAGATTAATCTATTTAGCACCCCACCTTGAGAAAAACCGAGACTCGTCCATTGGGATTCAAATCCTCCCCAATAAGCTTCATTGCACGACAGACTCCAGTCGTTCTCCAGGGCAGTTGAAGCCATTGTGATACCACCACAACATATAGTAAATCAGCCTTGCGGCAGCGGCCAAGGCTTTCATGATTGAAATTTCATATGAAAGTCCGTTGGAGCGATCAAAACGAAACAGCGAATCTAATGTTCCCGTCGTCCGAGGCTGCCTGGGCGAGGAAAGATGCCTTTGTTTTCGGCTTAGGAGTATTCGTGTTTCCTAGTCAAAGCTGGCGCTCGCGCACACCTTTGTGCGAAATAATGCCAGATATTGGATGGACTCCTGGAGTGGTCAGTTGAATTTGATCCTGCCCCGGATCAAATGTTGGCCGAGCCACACCAGCAGCATCTGACGAGAGCCAGCGACCTGACTGCTGCTTCGACACTACCTTCGCCAACAAATCTGGCATCCAGTTTTTTTAGCCGTGCCCACCGCGTGGTAGTTCCTGGTGCGGGAAATGTGTCTGTCGCGAGCGCTGGGATCGCGACACCATTGGCCCGGTATACAGAATACCATTTGAACATCAGGAAAAAATCCTTAGACTACAGAGCTACAGAGCGCTATAATAGCAACCGATAGCGCTCTGTAGCTCTGTAGTGTAACGATTTTTTTCCTGATGAAGCCCGGGGACGCCTCAGGCAATGTGAGCGGAGACCAATTTGTGAGCATTCGAGGTGCGTCGCCGTGTTTTGTCCTCCCTCCTCTCTTTCCTTCCTCTGGTCCGCTTTTCATTCTGACCGCTTCCTTCCTCATCCGCAGGTTCACTTGCGTCCCTTGCGTCCCTTACTCCAATTTGGCATCCGTGATGCCCCTCTTCTCGCGCGTTTTTCCCCTCCTCTCCCTGCGTCCTCATCACATTCTTCATCCTTCCAATCTCCCGTGCGTTGTGTTGCGTCCCTCGTCTTCCATCCTTCCCTCCATTTCGTCGCGCTCTCTATGTTGGTCTTCCTTCGGCACAGGAACTCCGCTTCTCCTTCCTCCGCACCGGCGCGGAGCTCACCTCTGCACAGATATTCTCCGACACTACCTCATCCTCCTCCACCCCCGCCCTCGTTGCACCCGTAAATGCCCTCAGCCTAGAAACCCCCTCCGACCCGGCATAGCGCCCTTCCAGCCCCAGCCCGCGCCCAAAAATCACTTCTCCCCGCCACAACCCGTGGGCTGCCGCGCCGGTGCAGCCTATTGATGGGGACTTCGCGCCCCAGCACAGGCACAACAGGCGCTGTCCTTGTTCGGCGCCGCGCCCCCTAATTCGACCTTGTTCGGCGGCGCACAGCCGGCGCCGTCCATATTCGGCGCTGCACCGGCTATGTTTGGCGCCCCAGCACAGGCGCAACCGGTGCAGGCGGGACAGGGACAGCAAGCGGGCTTCGCGTTCGGGGCGGCGGCGATGGGGAGTGGGGGGGGGACGGGCTTTACGTTTGGGGGAGGGGGTTTTAGGGGTGCGATATCCCTGTGGTGTGCTGAATCGTGGGCATGCGTACCTAAGATATTGATACGAATGATGTGAAAGTGGTGGGCGTGGTCTGACGTTGGGTGCTGGTGCGAGCGCGAGTGGGTGCACGCGAGTGAGCATCTATGGGGTTTTCGTTTTCGTTATTGTTGAGACAAGATGAAGCGGGGAGAGGAAGTGTACATACGCTTTGTTGTGTGCTCGATGCAATTTCTGTGTTGTTTTGGCGGGGGTGAAGATACCTGTAAGTTGTCGTCGTTCGGTTGAGTTTAGTTCGATAATCGATTTCGTCCCCGTCCGAATACGGGACATTCCTTTCAAGTTGGTATTTCATCGCTTGGAAGAGACCCGTATATAACCGCTCAGTGCAGGGGAAGCGTTGACCTGGTAGCCCAGCGGTTAGTCCGTCTGCTGAAAATATACAACCTCGAGATTAGCTTTTCGCAGAAAACCCCGGTTCGAATTCGGGCTAGGTCATTTCCCCTTGCAGTGGCTGCGTGACTTTTTCCCTTTTTTCTACTTATTTTTTGGAGCACTTTATGCCTACCTGGTTTTGTTTAGCGTTGATGGGATTCAAGTTGCGTTCGAGTTGGAGGCCTTGACGGTCGTCGGTGAATTAATTCATTGATTCTTCTGGATGTTGTCCGAGGGATATATAATATACAACTTGAGCAGATGTATTAACCACTGTGCTAGGTCTTCCCTTCTTTCAAAATGGGATGGAGGAGTCGGTTAAGGCGGGCATCACCGTGGCTATGCATCTCCGGATCAAGCCGGTTTTGAATTATCTAATGTCTTTCTGCCTCTGTAGGTTTTTCGACAAGCATCAATTGAGTCACACTCTAGATCTGTTACACTGCTTTGTGAATATCTTCCATCATGGAATGTGTCGGTATTGGCAGATGCGTCCGTGTTGACAGTGATTGACTTTCTCGATGGCAGATGGTATAAAGATAGCGCAGTCCGGGTGTTAGAGAACTCCTTCACTCGGCCTGAGGTAGGTGACTCAGAGCATCTGTGAGTTCATAAAGGAGGCTTAGCATATTTCGCTGTCAACGTAGACTCTGTTGTAGTCTTCCTGAACAGAACCTCTTTCCTCGCAACCGTGTTTATAGCTATCTATCTTCGCACGATAACCAATCGACCCTTCAATCACACTTCGAGGTGAATATATTTGTTATCCGAAGCGCACGCCGTCCTCTCGGGGTATCCATGTCTTGTATAAATCACACTCCCGCGCAGCTGCCTGACGCCCCCGGCCCTTCCTTAACGAAATGGTTGGTTGGATCAGCCTACTTGTTCCTCTCCTGTTTGTTGCGCAATGCGGTACGTTGGTCCAGTTCCATTCACTGCGTTCAGCGGGTTGATAGCCGGGGGGGTGGCTAATCAATGAACGCTATGGCTATCTATAGTTCAGCTGATGGCTGTCGCCTAACTAGGGTCGTATAGCCGCATTGTGATTAGCGGTGGTGAGACCGTGGTTGTTCAGATAGCCGTGCTGCGGGTAGCCTCGGGTAACCCTTGGCTAGCCCGCACGCCGAACCCTGCCGAACCTCGCCTAGCCGATGCTAGGCGATGGGCAGCCCTAGCCGCACATGGGCTCGACCGGCTAGCAGCGGCTAGCCGGCATCTAGCCGGCACCTCCGGCTATCTCTGGATAGGCGGTGCTGTGGGTATCCGCTCCCTGAACGCAGTGATTCCTTTCAAAAGCTCCAACTACCTGGGTCAAGTACCTGCACTTCTTAGCAATGGCACGGTCAATCGACGAGCCTCCGCATCCGACTCCGGTCCGAACTGCGACAATGAATGTGGTGCCTTTGATGCCGATGTAGGTCCCATCATTGACCACTGTGGTTCTGACACCACCCTTGCCCAGGGTGTAACCTGCAACAACACCGTCGTAAATGACGCATTAAAATGCTACAACTGTTTCGTCCAAATAGGGACTGTGACACAGCAGGGGGCGCAAGTGGTTATCGATGGTACACCTTTATCCACCGTCCTAGGCTTACAGACTTGACGGACTCGCCATGCACTGTCAGGTTTCGTATTTGGCTGTGACGAGCTAGGCCATACAGTGAACAACGCTACCGTAACCGCGACGGGCATTGCACCCACCGGTAGTATAGGGTCAACTTCTGACCCAGCAACCCCGGCATCAACGAGCGCTCCGCCTACTGCCACTAATTCAGCGAAGTCTCCCGCAGTGCCAACCAAATCCGCAACGAATTCCTCTGCATCCCCCAGTGCGAATGTATCGCCTGCCATTTCGGTGCCTGTGGGCGGTCCAAAAACTTCTTCTGCAGCTGCACCACCGGGTGCCTCCGGAGCAGCTGCGAACATGGGTGGCGGAGTGGGGTTAGCCGCAAAGAGCGCAGTCGTAATGAGTACTGTGCTTGTCGTTATATCGGCCATTATCACCATTGGATGATTGTAGTTGATTCTCTCGGGCTTCAGGAAAATTCCAATTGGTCGGGACGAACATAATTTGTACGTTATCATTTGGCGGGTGTTTTTTCTGTACCATCTGTCGCAGCGCAGGTATATCGATACTTCCCCAGTAGCGTATGTTCTGGGCCTGTCTCTCGTTCCGAAAAATAAAAGAAGTTTTTCACCAATATTTCCACTGAAAAACTTGAAATGCTTAACCAGTGTGTCTCATAATTTATGGCTGTAATAGTGTCTCATAATTATCTGGTGCACCCCTGGACATATTTTCACCTCTTCTTACCAACCTTCCCATGTCTTGACAAGAATTCTCAGTCCATACATTTTTTACTCAGTCGCGCCGCTGCACTATTTAAATACCCTGGTCCTCCCAAATGAAAGAACTCACTGCCTATAATGATCGAAAGAAGTGCACACATCCAATGTTCCTAAATTCCACCACCCGAATAGGAACAAACTGAAATTCACACCCTTGAAACCCTTTCCTCTTCACTGCTAACATGCAGTCAAATAATTCCCAGGTGCCAAGCATCGACCACAAAAAAATGCCATCAAGCTGCTTTGGTCCTTAGGTTGGAAGACAGCCACTAGGAGGGCCAGAAGCACTTCAATGACCCTAGGGTGGAGTTTGCCAGGTACCATAATGAAGAGTTCACCCGATGCAGTAGGTATGTAGCATACAACTGTTTGAGACTGCTCCTGTGTCCCATGTACTGGCCTTCCCAGACTCTTCACTGTCCCTTAACACTGGAGCTATGCTCTATATGATCTGATTTCAATTCCAACTCTGAATAAGTCAATATAAACCCCGCGAAGGAGTTCAAACCCGGATACTTCCAGTGTGGGACATGGAAGGGATTTGAACTGATGATTGTGCCCTGTTCGCCATGTCATGTTCAAAATATCTCATTTGTTGAAAGGTATCATAGGTATGCAATGTTTTGTTTAGTATCGACGGGAAGGTGGTGAATTGTTTTGAGTCTCCAAAGAAGATGCGTCAGAAAGATAGGAGTGAGGTGGACCGGTGTATTTAACTATGCGGCACGGGTGTGTTTTTTTGTGACAAACGTGAACCTGTGAATATCTGGATTTCCCCAAAGGTGGTGTGTTTTTTTGGGGTGAGGGTATCAGTCTTTTTTTGAGCAATGGTGCATTTTTTTTTCGCTCAAAAGTGGTACAATTATGAGACAATATTATCCCCATACAGCTGATACCCATGCGGTGAAGCTTAATTAGCACGGGCACAGAAATACCACTACTAGTAGCACAGTGACTCATACGATAATGCACCCGCCCGACTGCGGATCCCGGTACCCGGGAGCCTCCGCAGGCTCAGCGCGCTGAACGGCGAAGATGAGTGGTGGCTTAAAGCAAGATTTCTCGGCGGTGCTTACAAGTTCGACTTCGATCTCCTCTCGTGCCGTGAGATCTAGCGCAACAAAGACATCACCGCCGGGTTTGCGTGCCTTCACCACAGTATCGAAGTTCTTCGGAGGTGTCAGATATTGCAGGCGGTCTCTGGATTAATACGCACCTCACGGGCTTCAGCAATGGCTCCTGGGGCGGACGCGGGCGCAGCCCAGGCTGCTAAGAAGAGAGCCGAGGAGACGTAGATGGTGGAAATGAAGCGCATTATGTGTCGGTTTGGTGAGAGAAGGAGGTACCAATGCCCTGGAAATAAAATAAAATAAAGACAACAAAAACAAGCGCGGCTTGTGGGGTGCAGACGAGCAAAGAAGGAGTGAATAACTGGGCTTGTAGCACAGCGCTTTATACCCTTTACGAATCAAAATTCTGTGTCGGGTACTTTGTCCGGTGATGGTTTCACTGGTTTGATCCTCTGATAAATCATCTTCCCGATCTTCGGGATTCACTCCCGCTGTGAAACCCAAAAGGTTCTTATCTGTGCAAACTCCCACCAGGTAGAAGAAAGAGATGTCAGCAACCACGAGCGCACCTTGTTGTTTGGAGAAGGGAAGCAGCAAGGCGCTTTGTACAATTAGGTCTGGTAATTCCGTGGGTGATGGTTGCGCTGGCTCAAATGCGATGATAGGATGCTATGTCTGAGAATAGTTGAGACAACCGCAGAATAAACTGTTGTCTTGTATTGGAGACGTTTCCGTGATAAGGGATCTCGAGTTGGTCGAGTGAGATTATTGGAGTCGAATGGGGTTGAGAGCGGGGTCGGGTGAGATTGTTGAAGGGGAGATTCTGGTGAGTCGAATGGGGTTGAGAGCGGGATCTATAGGGGGATAATATTTGGAGATATTTGGCGGAACGATGATGATTCACGAGGAAACCAGGGGATTCGACTCCCTCCGGCGGCATCAAATGCGCTCAATTGTTTTTATTGTACATCATGCTTCCCATAAATCGCAAACACTCCACTGCGTCCGACGTGGCGAGCTATCCAAGAACATAAAGAACAAGTCCATTACAGCAAAATTATACTACACGAGGGCGTGATACTATACACTGCGAATAAATTCTGTATTTCTGTCTGAATCCCCAGCGTCTAAGTTTATGAGCCCCCGACGTGCATCTTCTTCTTCCCGCCCTTCTGTGCGCCGTTGCCCTCCGTGACAGTCTCATCCACCTCCCCATCCGCGTCCACGTCCGAGCCCTCGCCCGAAGGTGCGTCACCCGATGGAATCAAATCCCGCGGATCGGACGAATTGAGCGCGGCCGAGCCCAGGACGCCAAACTCTTAGTCCTTCTTCCCGCCGAACCCTACGCGCGAATGCGCCTCAGGTTCCGTACCCGTCATGTTGTCGCGAGTTCAGTGCCGCGCTCCCTTGTGTGTTCGGCATCGCGTCCGCCACAAAGGCAGACGCAGCGGAGTTCTCCGGCGCGCGCGGGCCCTCGCTCTGGCTCGCCGAGCTGAGCCTCTTCTTGTCGGGCACGGGGGGCGCAACGCCCCCCGTGGAGAAATTGTCCTCGTACCGTGAGGAGTTGAGCGCGGTGCCGCCTTGCGGAGTGGGCATGGGCGATGGCGTAGCGATGAGCGCGCTCTCGCTCGACGCGGTGTA